TCAGGGTGGCCCAAGGGACTCCCAGATAGTAACCCAGCATAGAACTGGGAGAATGAACAGCAGACTCCAATCTTATCTAAAGAGTATTGACAACTGATTGCTGCTAAATGAGGAACAGCTGACACTCCTAAAACAAAGACCTCCAGATAGGCTGATTAGATTCACCAGAAGGGCAAGTAGTGAGGAATGGCTGGGGTCCTGACAACACAGCAGAGAGTAGCAGGGATATCAGAGTATAAGGGCTCTAGTGGAGGGAGGGAGGCTGTGGGAGGGTGCTACCTGGGAAGTGGGTGTATACATAAATTTAAAAAAAAAAAAAAGAAAGAAAAAAAAGAAAAAGTTTAGCTAAATCCATAAAAGGAGAGTTTTAAGTATAACTGAATTTCTGCACTATTTCAACACAGAATGCCAAGTGTTGTTCAAAAAAAAAAAACAAACAAACAAAATAAAATAAATTGATTATCCTGCAGAACTGTTTTATTTTGTTTTGTTTTGTTTTCATGACTAAGCATGACTGAATTATAACTGAATTTCTGCACTATTTCAACACAGAATGCCAAGTGTTGTTCAAAAAAAAAAAACAAACAAACAAAATAAAATAAATTGATTATCCTGCAGAACTGTTTTATTTTGTTTTGTTTTGTTTTCATGACTAAGCATGACTGAATCCAAAAATAATCTTTTCTGGCTCCCAATTTCCATAATTTGATATGTGCAGTCATATGACAGGGCAGTCAGAGTTACATTTGGGGGAAAGATTATTTTGATTTGTGGTAACCTATACTGTCAGTATAAACTTGATGCACATTAAATGATATAGAGATGTTGGCTGGAGTTGCTTATAATTCAGGACTTAGTTTACCAGAAACACTCACAACTTTTAGCACTTAGCAAAGTGCAATAAAAATATAAGATGAAATTTGGAAAGTGAGGTCATTCCTTCCTACAGAAGAAATGGATGCTGGTGAGACTTTTGTCCAAAATAGCTGTTTATCCTCAAACCTCATTCTAGTAAAAATCTGCACAGACACAGAAATCAACTTGAAGGTTTCTTTTCCATGTGGTCTTCACTGAAACAATAAAATGTAAACTGAGGTAGCATGATCCAGACAGCACCATCAACAGCACCGTCTACAGCAGCACTAACAATCAGATGCTTTATGAGGCTTCCTGTCATCAGATGCTTTGATTCATATCCTCCTTTAATTCTCACAGTAGTTCACTATTTCTATCTCATAGTAGAAACAATCCCAGTGCAGTGTGATATCAAGTAAAGTTCATATTTACACAGGGGTTCTACAGTACCATGGGGGAAGCACAGCGAATCCAGCCTTGGAGTGAGCACATCATTAGAGGTCTCCTGCAGGAAATCACCTATAAAGACAAATCCTAAGGAATGACCAGGGTTTAGGAAGTGAAATTAAAAATGGATCCTTGCAGGTGGAGAACCTGAGGAGTCAAAGGCAGGAGAGTTGCAAGATTGTCCAGTGATCAACAGTCACACACACCCACATAGCAGTAGCACAGTGTGCTCAGCCTGGAAAGGAGACCAGCACAGATCTTGCAGTGTCAAAATGCTATCTCCAGGTATCTGGAATTAGTCGAAAGGATTTTAGGCTTCATAAAAATAGAGGTCCAGCTAGCCTGCACTACTATCCTCAGGCCTCTTGGGGTAAGTCTACAGCGCAGCTCTCTGCGCTGGGACTCCCTAAGCCACATTCACCCTTCCAC